GATTCTTGGTGCATGTCATCTTTCACCAGTGTACCTTACCTCCTTACCTCAAGAGTTGCTCTAGCCCATCCCTGCACACTGCACTAGCATGTCATACTCTCTAAGCTATGTGAATCAGCTCCCTTTTGCCTCATTAAAATCCCTACAGGGTTTCTTTTCTACTGCTTAACTAGGTAATTCTAAGGCAATTAATTTTCTGTTATCATTCATTTTGCACAAGCTGTTGAGGCATATCCCCTGTGAGCGGTTCCCTTGCGCTGGACACAGTGCCCCAAGGCTGAAGGAGCTGCAGAACTGCTTCTGCAGAGCTTGTGTCAGGAGCAAACTGGGGGCAGGAGGGTGAGGAGCTAAAACATTAGCTGCCATCACCAGCTGAAGAGGAGGAATGTTGGTATGCTTTCACGAACTGATACTGGTCAGCCTCTTTACCAGAGGTGAGCATATGGAAAATCAAAGAAATATGTCTGGCATCACAGACTTTCTTTTTCTTCTGCTCTGAACTTCTTTGTATCTGACTATATCCCATATTTCTAGTCTGTTGCTTTATTGTGTCCAAATTTTTAAAATTTACCAGAAATAAAGAAAATTTCCATGGATTAAGAGTTTGGTGCCATTCAGCTTTGAAGTGGATCTACAGCAAGGCAGAGTTCGAAGTATTTCAAGTCTTTTTTTGACCCTTGTTTTGTATCATAAGCCCAAATTTTCAGTCATGTTGCTTGACAGTTAGGTAAAATTACCAACATTTAAAGCTAAATTACCACTGTTTTTCTGCAATTTCCATTTTTGATTGCAGCTTCTGATGCTAGTCTTAGACTTCTGCATTAATTTTCCAAAATGTGGGGGTTTTTGATCCACTTAAAAGCAAATCAAATATGTGTACCCATGAAAGACTGAAGTTTCATCTGTATCCTGCTAAAACAACTGGAATAGTCCAAGACAAAGCAGACCACCAAAATTTGTAAAATACATGACAGCAAATTATAAGATAACTCCCTCAAGGGATGTGACTGAGGAGCACATTTTCAGAGATGCTTAGGCTAATCATATCTTGATTGTCTTTAGGAAAAACTGTAGAAAAAACCTCTTCCACTGCTGAGGATGTCTTATTTTAACCAAATCAATCCTTATTAAAACATAACAAGGAATAGATACAAAACATAGTCAGAAACCCTTTATCCTAAGGTAAATTTTATTTCTCTCTCTCCTTGCCGCCTGAGAATAATGAAATAAACTAGAGAATTTATAAAGTCTAGGAGGGATTTGGCTGTTGATTTTATAAGGAAGATCTCAGCTATTCTGAAGGTAGGTGAAAAATACATAAAACTCATATGTGGATATAGGTTTGGTAATAACTGCATCCTTGTTGAAATGCAGCAGTGTTGCCTCTCTATAAAGGTAGGTGAAAAATACATAAAACTCATATGTGGATATAGGTTTGGTAATAACTGCATCCTTGTTGAAATGCAGCAGTGTTGCCACTATCAAATGTAAATTAATTTATCAGTAAAATATGAAGTTCAATAAAACAGGCTTCATTGGAGACAAAATGGATAAGACATTAATATGGGTTGTGTTTGAAGCTTTACATTAAGATCATTGACACTTATATTTCACCTGCTATTTATGACTTGAAACAAAGGACTTGTGGAAATAAAATGCTCGTTATGATATATCATTTACCACATATCCTCAGAAATGCATTTTAGATTTTCCTGGATTTCATCTGGGAAAAATATGCTCTGAAATAGCATCCAGGTAGTCATTCAAATGGGTTCTAAATATTTTCCTTTTGCCTCCTGGAACACCATACAAGATTTAGTGTTTGGAATTCGGAATAATTTTTATAATGATGCTGTTGCAGTCTACCAAATGGTTTGATGAACTCAGTGCAAAAATTCCAAAGCATTTTCAAATAGATAAGAAATTTAAATCTGGGAAAGGTATAGGCTTTCTAAATCCAATTTGCATTATAGTTCTGCAGCTGTATATTGTTAATATCAAGCAAAAAGACTTGTGGCATAAATTATTTGGGTAGCTTTAATCTCTTTAAAATGAACTCCTGAATTAAGGGTATGGAAACTATTAGAATCAGCATTCAGTACATTGTGTTTATCACACAGCAGGCAATCATGATACAAATTTTCTACAGAGAATTATGAAACAAAATTGCTATAGTAGCCTTTCCTAGTCTTTGCTTATTCTGACTGACTATGAGGTTGCTATCAACACACCTATGTAGCTGACACTCTTGTTTCACTGTTGCAGCTTTGGGTATTTTCATTTTTCTATATAAAATACTGTAAATATCCATTCCCTTTTTTTTTCAATATTTTCATCTCTTAGCCTTGTAACGTTCTGTTTCAGTGAGCTCTAAACTGAATCCTGCTTTGTAAAGAGTGTAATCTGGACTGCATTGTTTTCAGTAGCACTTTGTACTGGTATTACTGTCCCTTTGAAAAAGGCAAGAGCCCTATCCTTTGCTGTTGCAGTAAGTCAGCACTGCTAGGTATCCTTCAGACAAAAGTAAAGGTCATGGTGATGGCGAAGATGCCCTTTTTACAAAGAGTTTATAAGGTTTGCAGCTGGAATGGGAGGTGGGGAGCTCTAGCATACAAACTGATACACTAAAAGCTTTGTATCTTCCTCCTCATCAGCCCTGTCTTTCTCATCTCCGCAACCATTGCAGACGGGTATGCCCTTTCTCAAGTGAGAGAATGATCAGATTAATACAGATGATTTCTCACTTAACCTTTAAAAATGTCTTTAGATTAAGAAGTCCACTAAATCTCTCAGCTTTCCTGGGATTAAGTCTCTGTCTTAATTTATTTCTGAGCCCTTTCAATTCTCTACCTGAGCTGTTGTTTATGGATACACTCCAAGATTCATCCTGAAAAGATACTCATCCTCCTGCCAATCTTCAATAGGGTTTGGTCATCTGTAGTACTTTTCAAAAGAATAGTGGAATTTTGCTTAAGATAAAGCCCTCCAAATATGTATTAGATGGAATTGTGGTTCAAAGAATGTCAGAACTCATAGCCTGCACCTCCTGACTTCTATAGTTGTAAGTTTTTAAAAATACCTGTGCAAATATGTTATTTGTTTGGGGTTTATTTTCTGTGAAAAGAAAATTAAAGAGAGTAATCTATTTTTTCTTTAAACTTCTTAAATATCATATTTTGAATATTTCCATGTCTCAGAGTTTACATAAGTATTCTTTTTAGGCTTTACAGTATGACTTTCATTTGATAGTTTGCTGGAATGGAGAGTTGTACTTTTATTAAGTTTTTTGTAATAAAGCTTTGCACCTTGTTCATTCTTCAGGATATACTTTTGTATATCCTTCTTGAAAAAACACTGGTATGAAGGAACTGACAGATGACTTAATTTGTTCAGTTTCTTTCCACATAAATTAAAGTCAACTTCACCCATAGGTGACAGCAAACTCTTGGAAACTGAAAATGCAGTCAACTCAATGCAAGCGATTACGCACACAACAGTGACAGCAAAAGGGCTTATGTGTAAATATGCAAAAAATCTGTAGCTAAACAAATCTCAGAAAACCTATGATATCTTTCTGAGAACTGCAAAAGAGCTATTTAATGTGGTAGGGATTGCATGAGGAGAAAATCTTCAGTTTGAGGACAGCTGGGGATTTCCCTGTAGCCTACACCTGAGCTTTGCTCTGGTAAGAAGTTGATCCCCTCCCCTAATGGAAAGCTCTGCTTGGCAAATATTATTGGAGAGAGCTGTAAGGTCTAATTGCTGCCCCTGATTGCCAGCCAGAAGGGCTATGGAATGTTATCAAATGCTCCCCACCTTTGCGGAATCAGAAGGGCCGTATGTGTGCTCACATGTCAATGCACTGAAATGGGAAATCAAAAATGAGCCAGTGGGTTATCACACACATTTCTGTGGGAGCTGGTGGGAGTTGTAATCTGTGCTCTGAACAAGTAGGTCATTAGGGCATAAAAATCTTGGTCTGATCTCCCACTTTGTGACCATGAATAGGTCATTCTTCAGTGCATTTCTAAGGAAAACAGGAGAATGAGACAGATGATTTTTTTTTTTTTACTCTTGAGTTAGTAATTTATATATTTATTTTTCTAGTAATTTGGTAAATTGTGTAGTTCTTTACCATTTCCATGGAAAATTTATAATTGTGGAGAAAAAACAAAGCCAAATCTTCATTTTTTGCTTTTCCTTTACAAACATGGAGGAGAGCCTTGAGATGATCTCATCCTATTGTTTGTTATCAGCAAAATATTTCATATGAAATTAGAGGCAAATGAAATATTTCTAGACCCTTTTATTTCTTTCTCAACAATAATTTTAACTTGTGTTGGAATAATATTTAAACACATTAATAGTGAAAGCTGGTAATTAGATTCAGTCTTTTGTAGTGTGGTTTCATTAATTACATGCTTACTTTAGCTACAATCTGTGATCTTCCAGACATAGAGGATTAAATAACTACAGATGAGTTCCTGGAGAAATAAAGCACATTTTCAGGGCACACTTGCTGAACAAGCCCCTACTAAAAATGAGATGGATCACCTCCTGGAAATGCGTGTTCTTTCCATGGGATGTGAAGGGAAACCAACAGGATGAGGCTTTTTGATCCTTAAGTTAGGGACGATGAATTGCTTTCCTTCTTGGGTCACCTACTGGCAAATGTAAGAAACTGGTGCTGAAGTCCCTTTTCTACCTGGATATTAGAGATGAGACTTCCTTGCAGCATTTGCACAGGCAAGGCTTTAGCTGTTTTTTTGGTTTTTTTTTTTTTCATTTTATTTTATTTGGTTCTTGGTTTTGTTTGTGGGTCTTTTTTTTTTTTTTTTTTTTTAAATAGCAAAGTAATTAACCATCCTTTAGTCAGAAAAAACCCCCAAGCAAGCCAAGAAAAAATTGTGTACATGAGGTTTTATCCTTCCCCCCTCTCCTTTTTAATAGTAAGGAGATGCTTAGAGGAGTCTGTGGTCAATTCTTACCCTTTGTTGCAGATTGTTCACAGGACCCTTGCAGCCATGCTGGGTGCTTTGGCCGCTTTAGCTGCCCTAGCGATTGTTGGGGAGGTAAGTTATCAAACTCTAAGTGCTCCCTTTGTCTCTGGCTGTGGTGTCAGGTGTCATTAATTTCCATGTTTGCCCAGTTCTAACTGAGCACATGGCAAAGCAGTATTTTTTAAGAAAAAGAAATGGTAGGACAGATACTGGGGTGGGAAAAGAGGTCAGATAATGTGTAGACAAGGGGAGTACAAAAACGTCAGTTGATGCTTTTTTGTTCTGATTTGCAGGAAGCTGGCTGCAACTATTTTCAGCTTAATCCAGCATTAGTTTAACACTGTTATTTTCAGTAATGTTAGGCGACCAAGCGAACCTAAATGGAAATACACTACTTTATACTACCCTAAATAATTACATCTTATGCCTGCATGTTCCAACCCTTTTGTTTCTCCTGCTGCTTACTTTCGTTGATATATAGTCAAACATCAGATTGACTTTCTCGGTTGTTCTGATAACCACATCATTACTAAGTTCCCTTTAATACCCTCCAGTTTGTTCACAGGTGAAGTAGCATGTTTTTGTTCTTTTACCAGAAAGGGAACTGCAGTGTACAATGCAATTTGGTTATCTTTTATTTCTGTAATGTTAAGTAAGGAACAACTAGACTGACCAATAGCCTGATAATGACCAACTTAGGATGCCAGCAGTACTTTGAATTAGTAATAATAATAATAGTAGTAATGGCAATAATAAGGAGTCCTTTTTATGTAGCTTGTAGGAACACTTATTAATTTCCATCAAATTTATTAAAATGGTTCATCAATTAAGTGGAGTTTATAAGTCATAGCTAATCACAAGTTAGGTGGCATTCACTCGTAATTGTATTTTTTGATTGCAGAGGCCAAGTATGGTCAAAGTGGTGGAGTGGATTGACTATGAGACACTGGCATTATTGTTTGGAATGGTAACTAAAATGTATCTTTTGCTCTAAATGTGCCGAAATAATCACATTCAGTATAGAGATGTTTCCTTTTAGAACATTTTGTTAATTGTATTTCACTCAGATGACTTATGACAAACATTTGTGTCTTAAGGAATTTACCAAAAAGGATGAGGATCAGACCTCTGAAAAAGTCTTTTGAAATGTTGATCCTTTTCTATTTTTTTTTTTTTAATCTGTGAAGTTGTATTGACAACATGCTAAAAACATCCTTGGGATTTATAAACAGAAAGACCTGTTTAAGGGCCAAGTATTATCACTCTCATTTTTCTTTTAAATTTTGTTTATTCGAAGCCTTCCTCAAACACACTCTGCTGGAAGAGTTGTTTCCTGTCTCACTGTTTTTTCTGAAGCTACAAAAAAGCAAGCCAGAAATTGAGAAAAAATATCTGATGAGATTTTAATAATATATTATTTTGATCACTTTGCCCGGAGCTATTTGTGGTAAAAAGTATTGTCCAAGTGCTATTAGACTCTAACACAAAATATACAGAGACAAAATTACAATTATCTGGTTTCATTCTGAGCTTTTCTTATTTCTTGACACTGGGACACTGGTCCTTTCTCCTTGCATTCCCCACAGAATAAGAAAGTAAAAAAAAAAAAAAAATCTGTTTAGAGCAAAGACAGGAGACAGGAGCAAAGAAGGACAGGAGACCTCCCAGATGTGGGAAAATGCAAGCATTCCTTGAAGCCACTATCTTCTGTGCTCTGTAGAGCAAACACACTTATTGGTTCTTCTTGATTAATGATACAAGGGAGATACATTGAGCACTTAATGTATGATGCCCACTTAGTCACTACAAATAAAATTCAACCAGACTCATATGACATTTACAGACTGCTTATATTGAGAAGTATATTTCACCATATGATGCATTAACTAGAGACATCTGGCAGCTGTAGTGAATATTCTAATATAAGGGTGATTAGATTCTCAAAGCTGTGTCAGATAAGAAGTCCATTTGTCAGTATCACAAACTGCTTTGCTTTAGTTTTGAGTAATAATTCAATTACTTTTATATATCAGTTCCAAGTGATTATATTTTTCCTCATCTTTTGGCAGATGGTTTTAGTGGCCATATTTTCAGAGACTGGATTCTTTGACTACTGTGCAGTAAAGGTGGGTTTCTTTGGTACTTATAAGTATTTCTAGATTTATTAAGTTAGTATTTATTCAAATCTGTCACACCAAGCATGATCTTTAAAGAGCCCTTCTAAGGTCAGTGTATACTTATCATATTAGAAATGACAGTGGTCATGTTGTAATACTGGAAAAATCCTTTGTGGATGAAAGGAAGCCCTTAAAGCAATTCTGTTGCCACAGGAGAATGTTAAAGGTCCCCAGTAGGGTGCACAAGCATTTGTACGCTATTAAGCTGAATATTTCACTGATTTCCCCAGGACTGCAGTTCTGCTGTAGCTGAACTCTCTATTTATGCCTGGCAGTGGGGCAGGGAACTATCATTAACTTTCTGAAAAGTGGCCACACACCTTTGCACAGTAGCAGAACAAAAGTTTACATGAAAAGTGTAATTCATAGAATCACAGCCATAGAATTAGAGAACGGTTTGGGTTGGAAGAAACCTTAATAATCTTGTTCCAATCCCCCTGCCATGGGCAAGGACACCTTCCACTAGAGCAGGTTTCTTAAAACCCCATTCAGCCTGGACTTGAACACTTCCTGAGATGGGGCACAAAAAACTTCTCTGAGTAACCTGTTGTAGTCTCACCACCCTCACAGTAAAGTATTTCTAACTAGCATCTAATCTAAGCCTACTCTCTCAGTTTAAAGCCAATCCCTCTTCTCCTATCACTACATACCCTTGCCCAAAGTCTGCCCCCTTAGCTGTCTTATTGTCCCTCTTTAGGTGCTGAGACGCACTGTAAGGTGACCCTGGAGCCTTCTCTTCGCCAGGCTGAATAACTCGGATCTGTTCCAGCTTGTTCTTGTATGAGAGGTGCTCCAGTGTTTTGATCATGTTTGTGGCCCTCCTCTGGACTAACTCCAGCAGTGTTGCTCTGAGGATGGGGAATGTGTCCCAGGTGTGGAGAGGAAGGGAGGTCTAAAGCCTGTTAGTCCACCTGGGCATGCAGGCAGAAGATGGGGGCACAGTCCTTCTCCTGCCACTGACCCCCTTTATGACTGGCAGCAGAGCATGGTGTTTCTTCAGACTTGTTGCTTTGTTTCATGATGGGATTGTTTGCCCACTTCCATGAATTATTTTCCTGCCAAATTATTTTGTATTGGAGAGGGCGCTGTTGGAGTAATAGTAAAGGAATAGTAAATGCTCTGAGCTCGTTGCTCGACTTTGATCAAGTTGCTTTATCTAAAATTTTTTGAAGTCTAAGCTGGAGTGATGTAGTCCATTAATTTTGCTTCTGTTTGTTTTTCCTAGGCTTATCGGTTCTCTCGAGGCAAGGTGTGGGCCATGATTACGCTTCTGTGCCTTATTGCTGCAATTCTTTCTGCATTTTTGGACAATGTTACCACTATGCTGCTCTTTACTCCAGTAACCATAAGGTATTTTATTGTTATGGATTTGGACTTGGTCTTTTATAGCCAGCAATCAGTAGTAGACAAGTCTGCAAAATACTTGTTTGGAGGTTTTCTTAATAATTTAAATGGAAATTAGAACTTCAAATATTCTTATTGTAGTAGAATAAAAAGCTAGCACTTTCAGAGGGATGGGTTGCCTTTTGCCTTTGCATTAATACTGAGCACATATCTGAAACATGTGAACACTGCCTTGGCAGCTAACTGTTCAGGGTTGTCTTCATATCTCAATGGCAATAGCATATTGCACCAAATGCTCCCTGGTAGATGAATTTTTTTTGCTGTAAACCAGGCAAAATTATTAAATTAAATCTGCTTTATTCTTTGCTGACTGAATTTTGTATACAATCTTAATAGTAATTTATGTTTTAGTGAAGTTGTTATCCCTTCTAATATTAGTGACAAATAAATTTTTAAAAAGTCCATATTTCATCTAACAGCTTTTTCTTGAATCTGAGAATCTGAATTTTATTCCTGTTGGTGATCATGTCATTGAGATGGCTACTGGTTAATTGCACAGTTTCAGATTAGATATTTTGAACTTTGAGCAGACAACCATGAATTTAATTACTCCAGATATCTGTAAATTAATAACATGTTATATGCAACTACATTTAATCAGTGTGGGATTATAAATTACTGTTTAACCTGAATTTAACCTGTGTCTGGTCAGGCAAATCTGTTTAATCCAGTTCAGTTTTGGAAAGATCTAGTGTATTTTAGAAATGATTCTGAGAGATGTAATGCTTGCAGTCATTATCACATTAAAGTACACAAAATTCTATTAAGATATGCCCCCTCTTTAAAATGCAGTGTAAAGCAGTAAAAACCAATTTTGCAAGTAAAATTTATTCTAGACTGGAAACAGCTGGTGAATGAAAGCTCATTTGTCTTCTGTCCAATTATATTTTAAAGAGATGGCTTTGCCGTACCCTAATCAATAATTGCATTTCTAGCAGCAAGCAGCACTGGAGCTATTAAACACCAATTTTTCTTTAGCTGTGTTACAGAATATTTTGGATAAATATAATTTGGGAATGGATTGAAATCCAGAAGTCAATGTAGCATAAAAAGCTCTTCACAGTCAGAGCTACGGTAACATTTATTCTGTTTTCAAAGAATCCTAGAATAGCCCAGGTTGAAGGGACCTCGAAAGGCCATCTGTTCCAACCTTTCAGGGGAAAGGAAGCCTAGATGAGATTTTCTGTCACTCTCTTCAATTACATCATGAAAACCTCTGGTGATGGGGACTCTACCACATCCCTGGGGAGGTTTTTTTCCAGTGGTTAACTGTTTTCACCATAAATTGTTTGTCTTATGTTGAGGTGAAATCTCTCCATTGTACTTGTTGCCTCTTGTCTTCTCCATGTGGATCTTTGTGAAGGGAGAGCCTCTGCCTTTGTAGCCATCTTTAAGTAATGGACTTTTGTACTAAATATATACAAAGTCCTTTTGTTTTATACTAAATGAGCCTGTAACACTGAAGAAGGGGAAACTCAGTATGTGGGAAACATTTGTATTTGAATCACTATCAAAACTAAAATAAAATTTTATCTCACCTACTAAAACCAAATAATTGCCTGCTTCAAAAAGCTTCATGCTGGGGGTCATTTTCTTTTTTATCTTACTGCCATTGTCTACAGCTTCACTGTGTTGCACTGTGCAGTCTCCATTGCCATGGAGATAAGGCTTGCAGAAAATTGTACTGTCTCTGCGAACATTAGGGTTTATATTTCCTATGATAAGGCCTAAAACATGATACTTGTTTCACTCTGCATTTTGTAGTAACCTGCTGAAAAAGGTAATAACTACCTCCTTGTAGCTGTTGCTTATTTTCAAGATATTTTGTTATTGGGAAGTGGAAAAGGCTAATGTTTTTACACATGAGGAATTATATAACCAGGATAAGTAAACTGAGGAACTGTGATCCTGCCGTCTAGCTAAGATGTTCTGATGGTTTTACACTTTGGGCTTAGCCTTTTCTTACTTTAGGGTTCTGTTTTTAAAATACCACTAGACACATCAAAAAGAAAGAGTCACTAAAGAAAAGTTTAGTTTATATTTTGAAATACTGGGAAATCAAGGAGCAATGGAGTCAAAATTGCACACACAATTATGGTCTTGTACCACAATTGATACATTTGGACCAGTTGTGCTACAAAGTACCCTTTAACTGAATGATTTCATGCTGCTGAGGAAATAGCGTATTTTTGCACAGTTATTATTTTCCAGAGTTTTTATGTGCTGATATATATGCCATCTGACAGTGTTTTTCCTGAGTTTTAAATTGACACTCTTAGTGATAGTGTAAGTGAATCAGGTTAAGCTTTTTTGCAATATTCTTTTCTCTGTGAAATGTCAGTTTTACTAACACAAACTTGGGCTAAACAGTGAAGTCCAACCCTTCTTTCAGGGAAATATGTGAGAGCATTGCAGTGAGAAAGCATTCTTCCTGCACTCTCTTTCCCCCATCTACTATGAGATATAGGGGACAACAATTTATATGTGGCCTCCATCTTTACATACTGGAGCAACCTTTTGATAAGTTGTGAGTAGGAAAGGAGTTGTTTCTTACTCCAAAGTGCTTAGGTGTGACTTAATGTTCAGCTTTTATTACCAGAGCCTGAGTTTAAAGTCAAACATGTACTTCAGGACAGAGCGGATTATGTGGGTGTGTGCGTAAATGTAATTTGTGAGTTGGAGTAATCTGTGTGAAGATTACTCTGTATAAGTGGGCTCCGAGTTCAAATGGATCATGAGGTTACTGAGTCAACCCCAGTGTTTGTCAGAGCACTTTAACGTGCCTCTTATTAAAGGAGCAATTTACTTTTCCTTATCAAAGAAGCATCCTACCAAAAAAGTGTTAAATATATTTGAACTGAAACATTTTTTAAAAAAAAACTTAACCACAAGGAATGTGTATTTTCTGCTCTTGTTTCATCCCAAATAGAAATACTCATGAGCAAGCTTTAAAGAAGGAGGAAAATAGAAACAGAATAAACAGAATAAACCTGGCCTGAAAGCTGAAGTCTCTAATAGATGATTCATGGCTAATAGGCAGCCTGCACAATCCTCTACCACTGCTTCCCATAAGAAAGTTAATCAGTGTGGCTGAGTGCAGAGCCCGTGGTTGACCAGAATAGTTTTCCACAGATCACTGCAGCTTAAGGCCCATGGTTTCAGAAGGTGTACCACACTGAAAATTTGGAATGCTACTTTTTGTGTAGTCCAATTCTTGTAATAGTTGACTACTTTTAATTAAATGCCTTTAAAAATGCATCAGTTTTGTAGGCATTAATAACTGCATTTTAAATGTAAAGAAAATCTATAATTTTTTATTTACATTGTTATAATTACTCTGGCACAATAAATGCTTTAACATAGCATTTATTGACACATTATGCTTTAAATCCTACCATTTGTCTGTGAAATGACTGCATTTTGTAATTTTTGTGCATTTTAATATTTAAGGTACTTTATCCATGGGATAAGAAGTTAATTTCATTATCTTTACACTGCAGGCTCTGTGAAGTACTTAATCTTGATCCTAGGCACGTCCTGATTGCGGAAGTAATCTTCACAAATATTGGGGGGGCTGCCACTGCTGTTGGGGATCCTCCAAATGTGATTATTGTTTCAAAGCAGGAGCTGAGGAAGAGGGTATGTACTGCAGTTATTTGGCTACTAAAATTAAGTAGTGGTGTTGACTTATGTGATGTTGATCCTTCTCTTCCCCCAGACAGCCATGTAAACAGAACATAATGGACTATTTTTGCCATGCTACTTCTTTTTAGTAGGATGATCAGACAGAAGAGAGTGATCTTTTGGGGACAAAATAGCGATGAAGAATAGACATTTTGATCTAGACTGAGAATACCAGTTTCCTTTTTTTTGTTGTTGGTGAGGATTTCCTTATCAATGGCAAAGTGAGGAAAGAAGAACAACGGAGGGCTGCAGACAGGGCAACAAGTTGAAAAAACTTGTGCAAAGTTAAAATAAAAATCCATCCATTTTTTTCAGTATAGGTTTTCTCTCAAAAGTTAAATATTCATTCAATTCAACATTTTACAGAGAGGTTTCTTTGCCCCTGCAGAGCCATGACACACGTGAGGCACTTTGTCCTTCAAGCACACCCCAAGGGGGTGTGGGGTGTGAGAGGAGGATGGGTGCTTCTCCCATGCAGCACAGGCTGCAGCTGGCTCCCTCCTCCTGACAATGTTTTGCTATCTCCAGGCTGCAGAGACAGATTTTAGCTTCCAACTCTTGGCTGTCCTATTGTTTGCTGGGTGCCTGGTGCCAAGGTGAAAGCTATGGTGGCTGGTGCTGGGTGGGACTGCAGGACGTGAACCAGCAAGCAGGAGCATCCCAGTCCCACCATTTCTTCCCACCCACATAGATGTGTCTGCTCTGTGGAGTGGCTGTGGCACTGCTGGCAAGTGTTTGCAGCCCTCAGCATCAGCATGGAGCTGAGTTTGCTGAGTTTTCTGTGCTTTCAGCTACCCCTGAACAGGGCATCAAGTCTTCCTTCTGCCTCTGGCACCATCTCCCATCCCTTTTCCCTGGTGTGCTGTGGGGCAGCAGGGAGGCAGTCTGCTCAGGATGCAAGGGGCAGCCCCTCCTGGCATGGGGCAGATCTGCCCTTCTCCTCACCAACAAGCAGCGCCATGGAAGGGGCAGTAATGTAATGGGCACATCTATAAGGACACCAGGGATGAACTTTCTGTTTTGGCCAGAACCTCCCCCCCCCCCAAAAAAAAAAAATCCAAAGAAATTTAGTATTCATTGAGTTAGTGTAAAAACAACTGTGCAAGTGGAGAGGGAATTATAGTATAAAATCCTAAGTTTATGTATTGTTTTTTTTTTTCATTTGGCATCCCTTATGTTTCTATTGCTCTGTGAAAGAAAGATCTCTTCTAATTAACTGAATGCACTCAAAATAATTGAGTACTGTCCATGTTGGGAAAGATCTTTGAAAGTTTGTAGTATTCAATAAACTGAATGTTTACCATCAAAATATTTGAAATGTACTGCAGTTAGCTAGTTTGGATGGTAACTTTGAAGACTGTAGTATTGATTGTTAGCTGAGAACTTGATAGCTAAGTTTTAAATTTTAGATATGAAATCGGTGCACCTATCTAAAACTTCTGATCAAAAAGAGAGTAATTATCACTTGCCATGCAGGTCATTTTCCTAAATACTCAGAAACTCATCATTTCTGTAGAACCTTTAAAAGTGGCTATAAACATGGGAGATAATTAAACAATCGCAATTAAAAAGAAACCATGTTACATTTTTCTTCTTTGAGCTATTGATATTTTTAGGAGATGTATAAGTACCCTGGCAAATATGACATTATAGCAAATTCTGTATCTGAAACAAGCACAAAAATCTTTCCAGATGTTTTCAGTCTGGATTATTTCCAGATCATCTGCTGCATCACAGAAATAACAACGTAATATTAAGTTCAACACAGGGCCATAGAATTCACGTTGCTTCTTTTCTATATTCTCAGTTGTTATATCTATGTATATAGATAAAAGAGGGTGAAAGACCTATCCTTGGTCCTGAGGCAGAGTGCCATGAACTGGGGTATGTCCTCACTGCTCAGAGCTCAACCCTTCTAAAGGAGATTTGCCTGGGAGAGTGCTGGCTGGGGCCAGCCAAGAGAGGTCAGAGGGGGAGCTGGACCATCTGGCCTGTTACAGTCTGAGCTGTTGAACTAATAGCTGCATTCCTAATTTTGTCCACCTGCTCCTGCATGCTCTCTTTTGATCAGAAGGAGAAATATAGACCTTTCTTTCTTGTTTCTGAAACTACTTCTAGTAAAGGGTGCTGTGCAGAAGGGTTACATGAGCTAGCACAGTTTTGTGTCTAAAATGCATGGGGAGCCTACCACATTAGTACTGAATAAAATTTATTTTATTACTTTTTTTTTTAAAACTGTTTCAGAGGTAAAAGTTCTTGAATGCATTAATGACATCTTAGAAAGACTCCTTCATGCAGTATATTTTATAATTTCTATTATGGTGTTTTCTATAGTATATACTTGGTTTCTACCTCTTTTTAGCATTATGCTCATGTTTTTGGACATTCTAGGAGTTCTAGAAGTTTTTTTCACTTGATATTTTTTGTTGAAATTCTTCTTTTCATTCTCTTGTACTTCCTTCTCAGTGTCATTTTTGCATAGTAAGTACAGGAGAACTTGGACAACTGCCCCTGCAGGAAGTTGAATACTGAACTGTCCTATGTAGATGATTTGGTTTTCTACTTTATTTAGGTGCTATCAGGAGGAGAATTTTACCAGTATTCCTGAACTTTTACTGCTTTAAATCAACCTCTAAAAGTATTCAAGTAAAATATTGTGCAAGTTTACACTTTTGTAGGAATCCTTGGTTTTTATATCAATATGAAATGGAATGCAGCCTTGTTACTTTGGGTGCTGTTATCTGGTTATAGTGTCAGAAATGCTTTACTTTCTGTTTACTGTGTTGCTGGAGAGACTTTTCTCCCTAGCTTCTGGAGAAAACTAACATCATATTAAAAGTATTTTATTTAAGCCATGTTTGAATAAATAAGATTTTTGTAACATTTTGCTCATTAAAATGTAGCGATAAGTCTCTTTCCTTGTCTTGAGATGCAAATGAATGTCAAAAGGATATTTTCTTTGTAGCTGCTGTTAATTTACAATCCTGACATATTCCCTACCATCATGACTGGAATCAGTGGAATGTTTGCATAATAGGAAAAGAAGATTTGTTGTGCTCTTGGTTGTTCTTAGTTGGAGTGGGAAGAATTTTCACAAAACAGCATTTATGTTTTGATTTTAGGATAAGACCAAATGGAAAACTTGTTTAGTGAATAGAAAACATTTTAATGTTTTATTATTGAGTGCTGCTGTTAACAAAATTATATTTTTATTTTGAAGAGATATGGGCTTCAGACTTTGGGAACTCCATGTTTATATGTACAATAGAGCATGAACCAGCTGGATATGGTCCTTGCTCCCAGAAGAGTTGGACAGCAAATCTTCTGTGTTTGGGAGCTTCACAGACTTCTACAAACACACTTTTGAGATCAGAAGTTGCTGTGCTCTAAGCACAGGGTGTGATTCCCAGTTCTTTAAAGAACGGATGGCAAATAGGTCTGCAGAGCAAAATGATGCTGTGAATGTAGTGATAGTGAACATGTGCACTGGTGTGTCCAAGCTAAATCTGCATAATGATAAGAGCAAAGGCAGTTTTAGCATATGCTAGACACTGGGTTACTTATTTGTTTAACACCTTTTATTTATTGTTTTTGTTAGCACGTGATAAAGCTTGTGCTGTTAATCTGATGTCTGATGAGGATTTGGGGGTTTCAGCATACCACTCAGAATTATTCCTGCCATTTAAAAGGAATTTCCTGGGAAATTGACACACATCAGGTTTTCCTGTGCTGCCTTTTAGAGACTTTCAGCCTTCATGATGGAATTTAGCATGATGTGATATTAGTTGGTTATATTTAATGAGAAATTGTGGTACCAAAAAGTTTATGAATGAAAGTAGGTACTTCTGAAAAAAAAAAAAAAGAGAAAATCCTATATGTGAAGCTTTAAAGATATTTCAAGCACTGGTAAAACGGATTCCCATAGTTTAGTAGGCTATTTTTTTTGAGTTTGCTGGATACAAGCTTGTTAAAACTTTTAATCAATTTGTAGAACTCTACCCCTTCTGTTGATGTTTGATTGATTCCTTTTCTCAAGAGAAAATTACACTTAGGTAAAATGCATGAAGTAAAATGTATGGGCTTACATCTGACTTCAGAATTTTTGCCACCCATGCATGTAGTAATCACTAAACAACATAATGTAACACAAAAAGGAGGTTCATCAATGTCTCAAATAAACATTATCTTCATGTAACTGGGTTAGACCATCAGTGATTTCTGGCTCAGTGACATCATGAGCAGCTCCCATGAGAGACAATGTAGATCTCAGTCACTCAGCTAGAAGGGATGTTTAAGCCAGTGTAGAAATAATAATACTCTTGCTCTTCTTCATTTTATTAGTTTTAAAATATTAAGTAAAGGGCATTCTGGCTACAAAACACAGTACTTGCTGCTCCCCAAATTGCTGCACACAGCTATAATTTTTGCTTTCTCATTGCTCTAAATAGGCAGATTTCTTGTGGAAAGGTCTGACTTGCTAGAATTTAATTTAACATCTCCAGAAGCAATGAAAAAAAATAAAGATTATAGAAAGCTAGAATTTTATGAAAACAATATGATACTTCCTCTTAAATCAAATATATCAATTTCATATTTGCATTTTAAACTATAAACCAAGGAAAGATGCCCACTCTGTTTCAGCTCTGAATCCGTAGGCAGTGGAACCTTTAGGCTGTTGTCTTGCTAAAACAAAATCTTTAAATTTTCTCTTGACTGGGGAACAGGAGGAATTTGACACGATCATCATAGCCTCAAGTAAGGGACATTTGAAGCGTGTTTTGTATTTATCTCATAGATTGAAATCTCCTGGAAGAAAAATGTTTCTTGCCTATTGTTCATGTCAATTCTATTCCAGTCTATTGTGCAGGAAAAGAAAATCTTTGTGAAAATGAATTTTTGTTGTATGCAGGAGACATGGTGAGCACTTTAATGCTTTTTTACAATGCTGCATCCTGGCCCCAGCAGCGCAGAAGACTCAGGAGGTATAAAATGTGCTATCCACAGCCACAAAGGGTAGGACTGTAGGCTCTGTGGAGACGTTTCTGTCCTTTCTGGGGTGTGGGAAAAGGAACAGGGCAACTGGTGAAGCAACGGTGCCATGACCTTGGTATCCTCTGCTGCATCTATGGTATCTGTGGTACAGTGAAAACTCTTTAGTCTCTTAAAGTTCTCCAAGAGGCTGCCAGCTGGCTACCAGCTATCTGACAATGCCTGGTGTGAAATCAGCCTTGTTTCTCCCTGAAAACACATTCCCTGTGCTGCAGAGAGGCTGGTGCTAAGCACCCAGCCCAAAGCATCAGGCAGGGCAACCCTCTGTATTTCACTGTATTTCAGCCTTTCTGATATCAGCCATAAAAAGTAGTGCACTTGGTAGTCCTCAGCCTCCTCAAGGCTACAGGGCATTAGCTGTCCAAGGCTAGTGATCATCAGGATTCATTTTCACTCGCTGTCTCTGGATCAATGCAAGGAGGTAATGGGGAGGAAAGCCAGGAGCAAGGGATGGGAAGAGAACTGACTCCAATTTCACATTATTACCGACAATCCTGTCATGCAAGGATTTTTTTTGTGACTATTTTCTGTCCAGAAATAGGCACACTCCATGTTAGAAAACAATTTGTTTCAGCTGAAGTGGAAAGCTGTTCTGTGTTCTGCAGTAGGAGCAAAGCAGCATGTTTTCTTTTTCACCAGGGATCTCAGAGATATGAAAGATCAATGTGCTGATATTATGAACTTTAACAAAATCCCAAATCTCAGCCAAGCTACTCCCTCTGAAAAGTTTGGGTAAGCTCTTGGGCAGGATGCCAAAAAATCTGGTAGAATTTTTTTTTTTCTTCTTGTGATGGTGTCTGCAAATCACTTTCAAGGCTTATCTACGTCAGCTCTTATGTCATGAAGCTGTGTTAATCCTGATTTTTTTTCCAGGGTATTGTGATCTCTATCTCATTTCAATTCCTTTCAACTATGAGTCAGACCTGAGACCTCCTTCTCACCCTCAGCATTTTATTCGGCCTTCTAGGTTGAGGTGATTTTCTTCATCGAGAAATTAATTTTGTGGGTTTCAAGTGACGTATTTCTTGTGCTGTACTTTTTGAGAAACCTTTGCATCGTGGCATTTCAGGGACCAGACACAATTCTTTTTCCTTTGAAATAGGTGTGATAATAAAAATGTAAAGGCAAGTGACTTCTTGTATTTGTGTTTATTTGCATAATATACTTAAAGTCAAGATCCTTTAATATGTGACGAAGACATCACATATTTAAACTTGAGGGTTACCAAGAATTCATGGGGCTCCTATTTATCTTTGTTTTTTTACTTCTTACATTGCATTTACTTGCATTTCATTTATTTACTTCTTACATGCATTTATCTTCAATTCTCTCTACAGAGAATTTCTGCATCATAATTGGCCTGGTAGCTGGCCAGCCTAAGAAAAGTTTCATCTCCACTGCTTTTTTTGTAAGACTAGTCTGAGTGCAAAAGTAATTTTCCTCATTCTGGTAATTCTGTATTGAGTATGATCCTAACTACTTTGTTGCTCTTCAACCACCTGTTTTCCAGTAGTTTTTCTTTCAGCAGATAGTTCTTTTTTTCCAGTTAGGTTTAGGCATTTGTGTTTTGGCTGGTGTAGCTTCAGTGTTTTTACAGCTTAAATAATTTTGGCTTCCAACCTCATTTTGCCATTTTAGAGACCATACAAAACTGAATAATGATTTTGCATACTTCTTGACTTGTTTAATAGCATGCTGTCAAAGTTGGAAAATTTCTGAACTAAAACCAGTTCAACTTTTGAGGTTTAAAGTTCTTATTTTTCTGGCCAAAATTTTATGATCTTTCTTTTTTGGCTATAATCTTAGAGGCAACTCATATATAGAGGGGTTCAGATAGATTTATATTTAGATATATTAGATATATTTAGATATATTTGTATTCAGATAGATTTTTTTTTGTCAATTTGTTGTCAATGCTTTTCATTAAGGAAATCAACATGGGGATATGGAGTTTATATACTTTGGGGGGGCTGGTCTCACAAACACCGAGCCTTTGCAGGAATTCTTTTTTTATTCCTTTGTAAATTTACTAGAGTTATGAAGGTTGTTTTCATCCCTCATAGAAATGTCTCCTGTAGCTCTGAATCTTAACTTGATGCCCAGAGGCCAATCTCTGTAAAAACTGATTTGTAAAAACTGTCTTACAGAGATGTCAGACACCTAAGTGGCTGACCTACTTTGTAGGCAAACTGAATGAAGGTACAGTATTTTTCTTTGTGGTGTCACTTTTTTTCTGTCCAATTCTTAGAATAATCTCATTCCAGTTCCTGAAGAATCTTCCTTCTGCTTTCATAAAAGCAATGGCTCTAGCTAAGTTACAGCAAAAGGCCAGCAAATGGACAGGTACAATTTCACCTTTTAGTGTCTGGAGAGTAGAAGAGTCAAGGAATATACTATTAAATAGCAAGTAGGGATGACATTACCTCAGGAAGCTTAAACCTGTATTTTAATAGGATCAAATTCTAATCCTAGGTCTGCATATTTATGGTTTGAGATTTATTTGACTGTCTGCAAGCTATGGATTTTTTTTTTGCCAAAGAGCACCAATCTTTATCTGGCTATGAAAGTTCTTTATGACTGTCATCGGTTTCTTGTGTTATGTGTCTTTTTATTATGCCCTGTGGTGCAATAGAGAAACTTTTGCTTCCTTTTTTTGAACCAGAGACATTTCAACTAGGAAATTTCCACATAAATTCTTTTAGCATTTGACAATACAGAAGAACACACATTTAAAGCAGTAAGTTCCCAATAGTGTAAACACACTGGAGGTAGTATCAGCTATTGCTGATACTACAAGGGAAGCTGTTTTTAATATGCATTGGATTTACCAAAGGACCTATAGGAAACTCAGTTAAAAATCAGGGAACAATAGAGACAGAGTGGTGTGTCACAGTGAGACCAATTAACTTTTCAGAGTCTCTGGGAAATCAGTGAGTGCTCTGAAAATTCAGCTGGGACAACCTGGACTATCCAGGGCTTGAACCATGCTTTATTCCAGGTGTCACAGGTCTGCTCTGCTGGGGTCACCAGTTCAGACAACCTCTGTTTTTTGGATATAAAACAGTTCCCTCCTACCAGACTACTTGAATGTGATCCTCCTTGGAGCTTCTTAGGTAACTTCTTTTGGATAGGCGAGTCATGGCTACTTCAGAAAGCCCAGTCCAAAGGCTAACCCTGATCCACTACAATGTGTGCAGTATGGAAAAATGTAATAAATCAATTAAAAGGGACCCCAGAGGTCATCTAGTCCAATGTCCTACTCACAGCATGGCTAGCTTCAAAGTTTTAGGACAAGCTGTCACTGTTCATCCTTATTGCTTGAAAGCAATTAATGCGTTCAGCGTTTTAATACATTCTGCTTAACCTTTTTTAAAACCTCTTCATTAAAAGGTTTCATTCTGTAAAATATAAACAAATGTGTTAATTTATTAACAAGAAAGAAGAATAAACACAATATTGACTTGTAATACTTTTATTGTAGAAGAATTGTTCAGATAGAATTATTGTAAGCATTTCTGTTTTCACCAGTTTAAGACAAAATCTGGTAATTAAAATTCAACTATTTCTGAGACTTTGAGTGATTTGAAATGAATTTAAAGTGATTTAAGTGAGAAATAAAAGTTAATGATTCAGTTTGGGTTTTTTTACTGTACATTTCAGGAACAGTAGGTGTGTTTCAGAGTAACTTGTAATGCAATGTTTTAGTTCTTTGAATTAAATTTTAATGTGGCTTGTCTCCTTGAAACAGATGAAATACAGCAGATACTGTACTTGGAACTTGCTATGTTGCTTTATATTTATTATTGATTGTTAGCATACATAAAGCTGAATTCTTTTCCCTGTGGGTAATATAGAAAAATAAGTGAATTTTAATTTAGGTTTTTGTTTTTATTTTCAGGGATTGGATTTTGCAGCCTTCACAGGGCATATGTTTTTGGGTATCTGCCTTGTTGTTCTGGTCTCCTTTCCTTTCCTCAGACTTCTTTACTGGAACAAAAAACTTTACAATAAGGAGCCAAGTGAAATTGTTGGTAAGTGTGAGTGTGAAAAAAGTTATATTGTAACACCGAATATGTGCTAAATGGAAACTGGGTAAGGTCTACTACAATGGTGTCTTCAGATGGAAGTGCCCACCCTCCTCACTATCTGAACATTAATTTTCAACCAATAATTCATATTTTATTTTTATTTGTGGTATTTTCTGATTTTTAGAACTGGATGTTTTTCTGATGCTGAGGTTTTGACACTAATTATTAAATATCTTACAAAATTTGCAGGTATATTTTTCATCATTCATTATAGCCTTAGGCATGAGTATCAGGATGTTCTGTGTTGCAACAAATAATATCTGCTTAAGGTGCTGAGTTCACAGCCTAGATTTACAAATATCCCAGGTTTCCCTTACGACAAACATAGTGCACTGATGTATTCCCTTGCTGATGACTTTCTTCCATTGAATTTTTCAGCAATCTTTTACTGGTCTGTGGTCAGTGAAAGACAATTAATCAAAGCAGAACTTTTCAAGTCCTCCCCAGCTTGCCTCTGTGGCTCTTCCTACCCTAAATTTCTCTGGTGCATAATTTCTACAATTCCATAGAACTGAATCTTTTTATGTCACTCACCTCAATAGTCTCTAGAAGTCTTCTTAAAGCTGTTTCAATGACTGTCGACTGTGTCAGTACCTCTTTGTCTTCATGCTTTCATGTTTTTCAATTCAGTCATTTTGAAGTTTTATCATTGTTCTAGGGCTTCTCTTTCAGCACTGAAATTTAATACTAACCCCCAAAATGTTCACAATTTCTTTACAAGGTAAGAAATACTTCAGTAAGTATAATTTATTAGCAAGCTTTGTACAAAGACAGTTGAGAATAACTGTTTCTTCCTTGGGACTGATGCTTGTTTCACCTTTGGCTGCAGAAGACTTAAGATCCAGGCTTGCACTGACCATTCAACACATGTTTTAAAGTGCTGTACGATGTCTCTGTCTGTGTGTGTGTGGCATCTGTTTATCACGGAGAGGACGACTTCGGATACTGTTGATGTACCTTGGCTTCATTTGTTGTCTGTGGAGAAAGATAAGTGCTTTTCAAGACTAATGGAGCTGTCTATGCTAGAAGAGATATATTGCAGGCCTTAAAAGTTTACTTTTCTCTTATAAGGAGACCCCAAGGTGACTAACTGTGGCAGAGACTTTCATGATAGGTATCTCATTTAGGCAAAAGAAGTAGTACCTGTAGTACCTTGTCTTGTTCCAGGGGAAATCTGCTTTAGGATTATGGTTTTATTAAAAGCCAGGAGTGACAGTCCTCTCCTCAGTAGATTATACCATGTGTCTCGAATCCCATCTGATAGAAAAACAAGAGAAGAAATTTCCCTGCTTAGGAAGACCTTGTGAAGACTTTTGTCAAAGACAAAGTTTTGACTTTGGTGTCTGTTTAGCACAAGGTGCACTCAGCTTGCCTGTTTGTATTGCTAAAGGCCAAAGTCTTTCCCAGAATTTAGATCAAAAATATTTCTGATGTGTTCTAGATATTATATTAACTGTTTTCTAAGACATTTAAGGAGAATTTCTCTTTCTTCTATATATCTGTCTGGTGTGAGGTAGGCATTTTCGTTTTAAAACTGCTGAGGCTTTCTGCACCCTTAGAGGACTTATCCAGAGAGTAAAAGAAATAAAGAAATTAACTCAGACCCTAACATGCTTAGACTCTTTCCCTGTGATCCTACAAAGGATGATTTTTCAAAAAAGCCATCGAGAAAATTAATTATTCCAATTGTCAACAGTATTGATCCCAATATAATAGCATTATTTTATAAATATATATTTTAGAACATGGAGTTGCTGCTTTTTCACCTTTTGTCTATAAAATTTTAAAGCATATGTTTTGAATTTTTAAGAAATAAAGTATGTAATGAAATTTTTTAAAATTACTCTGAATAGTACAGTTTATTCACTGACACACTATTTCTGCCAGTGAAACACTGTAGTAGTGAAACACTGGCAAGCATATTCCCTTCATATAATGTCTTGGTAATCTTTGTTGCTTGCACCTTAGTCTGTTCAGATTTAGCAGTCTCCCAGTCAGTATACCATGCGTTCTCATCATCAGCTGCTTGTCCTTTGCTGCAAACCTAATCAGGAGCTGTTCAGTTACAGCAAATGCTGAAGAGCTACTCTTTCCATTGAAAATTTCTGTGAGAGGGGAAGAGAAAGAAAGAGACCAATACAGCTCCATTAGGAGATAGCTGTCATGGTTTGGATTTGCAGAATGGCCTCCAAGGTGCTTCCGGGAGTCCTTTCATCTCCAGTTGAAATGGTTCTGTGATAACTTCAAATGGCTTGTTTGAAGCAGCTGTTTTAATCAACTAAATACCAGTCTTTCCTCACCTTGCCCTCAATTAGCAATTAAACAAGTTATGTGAGATTTAATTGGTATGTTATTCTCCCTAGATTTTGTTTTTATCCCTGTGCACCATGTACTTTAAGCTTTTTTTTCCTGCTGCTTTAGGATACACAGATGATTAAAATGGATTTGTATGAATTTTAAAAACGGACAATGCTCTTATTATGAAGATACATTTTTAATTTATGAAGATACATATTAATTTCAACACTATATATTACCAGTATTTTTAATCTGTTGGATTTCAGACTGATTTGCAGCACCTCTGCTGCAGTAAAAATCCCTGTTCTTTCCCCAGGAACCACTGTCTACCAGCAGTGGCTTTAAGCAGGGTAACTAACAAAAGAGAAGACCTTGAAGAACTCATCCATCAGAGAGAAAATCTGATGTTCTTTAAGAACGAAGGGATTTTTGAGGACTTTCTTGAGCATGTCTTTTAGCTGATAAACCTGCTCCTTGTTCTGTGTGATGCAGCAAAAGATGCTAGGGCTAGAAGAGTAAGCTGAGAAAGTTTGAAAAGTTTGTATGTATGTACACTTCCACAAAAGAATATGTAAGGGAAATAATATCTGAGTGTAAGAGGAATTAAATTTACCATTTCAACTGCCACTCTGAAAACATGAAACCAAAGTTTTTTCTTCCTTTAAGGGTTAAGAATACATTACTTAGTTCCTGGGAAGTGTAACAATACATTATTATGTCTCAGCTGTCAAGCTGTAGAGACATGGACCTCAGTGTTTGGCAAGGTTGCTATCCCCAGGAGAGTGGGTGGCACATGTTCTGGTGACAAATATTATTATACTGGCCATTTTTGCCAGAGAGGAAGAGCTTTCTCTTAGCACAACTTTGGCACCAGCTCCCCATTTCTACTTTGTTGCTTGCTCCTTTTTCCAACTTTTTCACTGGCTGAAAGACATCCGCCCTTTAAGCGGGGGTGGTAATAGCAGGAGAGGGGGAAGCATGTTATTCCCTCTGGTGTAACTCTGTCTGCAGCAGCTGGGAAAATACTGATGGTAGTATGAGAGTCAGCATGTAAAGCTGACAGCAGAAGGAATTAATTAATCATAGTCATACGTAAAGTGCTTAATGTGTGAAAAACACAGAGCTGTTTCCCACAACGGGAAATGCGGTAACCAGATGAGTGAGCAAATCTGTTTCTTTTTTCCACGTGAAGCTCTACAGATGTTGTCAAAGAGAAGAAAAGGGATAGGAGGAGAGAAAGAACCACTGTGATGACTTGGAAGAAAACCACAATACTTAGTGCCTGACATTTTGAAATGCAAAAAGCTGACATAAAGTAATGGTTATGTCTAGGGCCACAAGGACACTGCAGGGACTCAGAGGGCACCCAGGATAAGGCGTAGTGTAACATCTGTATCTGTGCCGCTCAGGGTCAAAGAGCACCCTATATTCCTGTTTTTGCTAGTAACATATTTGTAACTTCAGGAACCATTTCTTGCTAGAATCAGTGAAAGGTATATCAGTGATGTAGCTGAATTAAGTAAATTGACAAATCTCTGTCCTGAGGTGCATCTGTGCCTATGTAGGTATTTTACTAACTGCCAGTAAAGCATAGTTGGTATTTAATGTGGTGTTGGAAGTAATGGCCTGTCCTCACTTGGAAGCTGGTTCAAGTGAGGAAAGTAGCAAGCAGTTTATGAAGACATATTTATTTTATAATGTCCAAAGAAAGGAATATTTCAATACTTTAAACTCAGTCTGAATGGGAGTTTTGCAATATGCACTACACTCTGCTGTCCTCACCTAAAACGCTAATTTCATTGGATTTTACGGGGAATATTTTTAAACCTTGACAATGTGGACAGTAAAATGTGTGTTGGTTTTTTTGTGTGGTCTCTTTTTCTCTCTTCTCTGCAATCCAGTTGTAGATATTAGCACCGAATAGTGAATAGTTAACATTTTAACTTTCCTACTGTGTGTGTTAGCAGGCTGAACTAAAAGGTGCAGCTTTCTTATGAATGCTCTGGGTATCTTTCTGGTATGTATCTTTCTGATAAGTATCTTTCTGATACATATTGTGTCTTTTATTTGAAAGAGCAGTAAGACTTTCAGTCTCAAACAAACTAGATAGTCTTAACGTCCCTTCAGACACTGTTTTTAGTCCTTTTTGGATAATATATCAGGATCTACCACAGCCATGGCTTTATGTTTGAAAGTGCAAATCAAAAGCTGTCTTTTGTTATTGCACCTTCAATAAGCTCTCTTGATGATCAGGAATGAAAAGAAGAACAGTTATTTACTTGCCACAGATTGAAGATTTTTTGTATTTTTAAATATTTTCAATAATTTTATGCTTTAATTCCTGTATATGTATTTTGAACTGCTTTGGAGTTGGTAGAGTATTCCCCTTGGAAAAAGAAAAACATTGATCTGCCTCTTCTTGTCTTCAGATGATAAAAATAGTATTCTGACATTGCAAAACAAGGAGAATATGACAATCTCATATTATTTGCTTAGTGCATTGATAATGTAGCCATCACAATAAGGCAGCTGTAATATTACTTTAGCTGTCTTATGCAGAAAGAAGGTATAATATAGTGTCATTCTGAATCAATAGAGCAGCACCTGACAATTTATTATACTCATTTTTTATAGAAGGAATGAGT